AGCAATGCTAAAAATCTTTGGCTACTTCTCACATTTTGAGGAGGTGACAAAATTTCTGCTGGAATCCCGTGGGACCGCTGCAACAACAGGAAGGAAAGGGACTATAGTACGGGTGAATACACCTCCCAGCTTTTATTCACTCTGCAACACGCAGCAAACGAGGAGCAGTTTTTTGCCAAGAAAAATGGACATGGGAAACAGGGAAGCAAGTTTTGGCCATGGCATTGCATGACAGAACAAGAAAGAGTTTAAACATAAATTCTCTAAGTCAGCACATACAAACTAAACTTTATCTCTCCCTAAGTACTCAAGAAAAAAACCCAAACTTTCTCATGTGATTCCTAGCCAGGCTGGTATCTAAATAAGGTTTTAGAAGGAAGATGACAAAGTTTATGTCTTCCTTCATCTTCTCTGCAGGTGTAATAGGGACCCAGCAGCCAAGTCACTTGTGAGGCATCTTTTTGATTGTTGGAGGAATCTCTGTTTATTCCCTGACTTTCCCTGTGACAACAACTCTGCACTTCTTCCAGCAGCTGATCCAAAAGTGAGGTTAGTGCCAGCATTACACTGAAGTAGTGCTTAATAGCTATCCTCAGCTAACACAACTAAAAGGTATGAGCATCCTCCCACATTGCATCAATGCTTTTGCATCTCCTCTCCAAGTAATAAAGCACAGGGAGCCAAAAATCTTAAGATTATTCCTGGGCCTTCTATAAGAGATTTGGCACTGGTTCAGAGTGCTCAAGTAACTTATCAGGGCCTCAACTACTCATGATTCCCTTTCATGACTTTTTCAAATGGTCAAAACATAGACAAAATTCAATAAAATTAGGTAAAATACGTTCCAGAAACCCCGATCTTCATTAAGTTTCTTCATTAAAGGTAACTGGCCTCAATATACAGCCCAGCCTCAGGAGAATTTTCTCCCCAATTATTCTTATTTCAAACTCAAAAGAATAATCTTTTTCAAAATGCAACCCAAAACCTGAACTCTGCAATTAACTGTAAGACTTCTAGTAATCCTGACAATCTTTCCTAGTCCACACAAACCCAGAGATCCAACTGGCTAAGAGGAAGGTATTAGCTCTAAATCCATGCCTTGTTCAAGGGTGGTTTTTTGGTGGATAATGAAAAATTACATCACCTCTTTGGCACCACAAGAAATTAATGACCTCATTCTACTTCTCTGATAAAACCCTGGAGATCAAGGAGTATACTGACTGTTGACTTTACAAACTGATAACCAGCTTACAAGGGTTACTCAGTAGTATCTGGCTCTCTTCTGGCCTACAGAGAAGAAAATCTCAGTACAATTACAAAAAATCCCTGCCAGAAGGGAATATAGCACAATAGATTTCTTCTCTCTTCTTTCAACATACAACCAGCTGGGTTCATACAGCTCATTTAGCTCTGTGATCATCACTTGCCTACCAGGACAGGATAAGCTAACCAACACAGGTATCCAAGAAGCCTATTCAATCTGATCTGAGCCAGGCCACTAACAGCCAATATAAAAAAGTTGAAAACTCTGAAAACTCTTCTCTGGAAATGCATGAAGGAAGCGTGCATAATCTACAGCAAAAATCCACACAGACAACACCTGCAATAAAACTTAATAAAATGCAAAGCTAAGTTTTATCTTGCCTGTATTTGTGAAGCATTTACAGTAGGAGCACATTAGCTGACAAAACAGGCCAATGCAGCACAAATCTGGGGTAGCAGTGACAAGACCAAGGACAGCAGATGTCACCAAGACTGGGTATATTCCACTGTTCAAAAGACCCCAACTTCCCCGATATGTATTTTTTGCTTCTCCACAGGAAAGCAAAAGTCAGACATCAACAGTATTGAACTGGTTAGTTGGTCAATTTTTGAATAATACCAGGTCGTTGTGGAAGGGGCCATAATGCATTTGACAGAATCCCTGAATAAAAAGGAAAAGTTACTCTTGATAATACTGACTATTCACAGCCCCTAGACACCTTGCTTTCATTATTCTGCCCAGGTAGTGAGGACACAGAGCCAGGTGCTCAAGTGCCATCTTTCCAGATCCCAGGCTGTCACATGCAGTCCCAGCTCACACGTTCACTTACAGGGAATGAAGTCAAGAAACAAAAACCACAGAGAAAGTGGCACTATGGGTGGCCCTAGCATGGAATGTTACACCAAAAGGATTCCTGAGATGGACTGCATCTGAGGTCACACAGAATTGCCCTGGCAATGCTGCAAGATGGATGTTCATTTTCATAACCTTCCTTCTGCAATCCTGCTCGATCATTCTCACATAACATTTTCTGCATCCTTCAAGTGACAGACATTTGCCAAAGACCTGAAACACTCCAGTCCAACTTCTAACTCTTACATGGCTTCACCAGTCATGCTGGCAAAGATCCGCAACAGCAGCTCTAACGAGCCAGAAGAGCCCAAGCATTCAGAGAGGGCAAGAAAAGAGCATTTTCTTCCCTTGAGGTGATCCCCTGTGAGGTGAAGGCAGTAGAGAAAGCAGTGGCAGCTAAGATGATAAAATGTCAGACTCTAGGCAGTACAAAATGGCAGCTGAACCCTGGCGAAATGCCAAGCTGTTCAAACAGGGAGTGGAGTACACTGGGCCATAATCACAATTAGCATAATAAGAGAGTGGTACAACAGCTACCTAGTTACTCTGAAGGGTCATGGAGAAATCATAACAAAGCAAAGTTTTAGGGAGAGACACAAAAGAAAACAATGACATAGCTGCTCGTGGGTTTTACCCAGAGGTTCTCCCATGCGTGAAGTGTGGCCCGGGAGAAAGTACAAAGCTGTTTAAGGGATCAGGCTCTGAACAGGGAGCAGCCGGCCGAGCCTGCAGAACTCCAACGGCTCCACAACACAGAAAGGATCATGTGGAAAGTGTGACACTGAGGACAAAGGACCTTACAAGAAAAATAGGCTACTAAGTGTAAATTTCAATAAAACCTGGGCTCAGTAGAGTCAATCAAGATTTTTTCCTTTCTAACCAGAAAAGACTTTCTCTTTCCCTCTGTCCTGGTTTGAGAATGAAGCAGAAGAGATAAAAATATGAGAAAATTTAATAAGTAAAATCTGTCACTCAGATATTTGCATTTTTTTCATTTTGAATGTCATGTAAACAATATTTACAGATCCACTGCATTATGCAATTAGCCCAGCTGTCTGCATGAAATTAATCAGAGTTTTAATAAAAGTATTAAATACTGAGTCACAGACTTAAAGATATACGGATATGAAAATCTGTAGACTGACTATACTGTGTACAGCTGCAGGAACTCATAGACAGAGCAGTTTAACATCAAAAGTTCTCTTTGCAGGTAGAAAGATCAGAGTTTTCACTAACATTTGAATTCCACAGAAGACACTGAGAATCTGTGTATAAAAAAAATCCCACTCTTAGCAGGCACAAAGATCAGAGTTTTCACTAACATTTGAATTCCACAGAAGACACTGAGAATCTGTGTATAAAAAAAATCCCACTCTTAGCAGGCACGATCTGGTCCTTCATGAACAAAGTTTACTGTTAACCCTATTTTCACCTTCCTTTTCCTCTGTGCTGCTTCTATTTCTCCTATTTATGTTTTCCATTACCAGACATCAAGAACCCCCATGTACACAAACAATGCTTTTCCCAAAGCAAGGTCAACTTGTTAGCATACAACATGGCCATATGCTCTATTTCAAGTGGGACACATCAAGACACCCCAGGTTAAATGTTAATATTGCCATTAGGCTTCTCCATTGCATTTGATATTATATAATATCAGACAGAACATCAACTGAAGAGATGCTTTTCAGATTGAAGAGGTAAATAGTACCGGTAAAAACCCTACCCATCTCTCCCTTGTTTTCAAACATAATTTCTATTTTGTCTGAAATCCATAAAGCTATGGGTTTCTTCTGCCTTTGGGGAGTGGGGGAAAAAGCAGCCAACAAAACACAACCCTGTTTAACTGCCTTCCTTCTAAGCACCTCTGTCTCCAGCGACAGGAATGAAATCCACCCTCAGAATGCAATAAACTTACGATTTCCAACCATGGACATCTCCATAAGGAAGAACATGTTCTTGTTCTCAGACACCAAAATATTTCTGCTGTCATAAATCCTTCCTGACAGCAGTATCTGACAAACACGTTTTTAAATTATGCTTTTCCTGCCCTAATCACAGCTTTGCTATGTACACCAACAGACTTTGACATGCACTGGTGTAAGCTATGCACAGAGCATATACCCAAGGCACACATCTAAATTCTCATTTGCAGTGCACATTGCAAACCATCATAACATCTAACTGAAACAAATTTATCCTAAGAAAGTTCATCAATCAGTAACACATGTCAGAACAAAAATTTAGAGAAGCACACACACCTTGATTTTCCGAATTAGGAGGACAGTTATTCATTAAACTTTACATCTTCTTAATTAAACCCTGTATTTTATATAATTTTGGAACATCTATTTATTCCCAAGAACAGGTGTGGATCTCAAGCAACATACTTATGAAAAAAAAAGGAGAATTAGCATCTCTCTTGCCTAGTAATTTTGCATAGGTGTCTATATACACAGAAGTGAGAGGAAAACAGATACACTATTGTTAAATAATATTAGGGCTGAAGAAGCAAGAGAATACACTCCATTTGCCTTTCAAATGCAGATTGCAAAATGCTGACTTGTAGTATTTTGTAGTTCTGGATCTTGCTACTGTTCACTGATAAATGCATTACAATCACAGAACACATCAGCAAGAAGCAGAAGATCTTTGCTTTCTAGAAATTGTACTTTGACAGTCATGAAAAGAAATTCACAACCGATTGTCCCATATTTAATATTAAACTGCTTGTAATGAAAGGAAAAAACCTGGAGTTTTTGGGATCTCCAACCATCCAGTAAAACTCAGCAAAAGAAATAACACAAAGTAAATGATTAGCAGACTGAAATATTAAAACTACTAAGCTTGACTAGCTCATTTAAACAAAATATAAGTCACTTACAGAACAGGATGAACAATCAGCTCTGGACTATATGATTTGATTACTGTTGCTGCATCTTTGGTACAAAACACATGGGATAAATCTGCACCCTAAAAAAGAAAATTTGCAAACAGTATTATCAAATTTATACTTAATAGTAACTTTACCATTCCAAAGATTACTCAACTAATAATTCAACTGAATTCTTCTCAATAGTTTAAACAAATTTTATTGTGTTTCTTCTATTTCGGCATAGACTAGTATGAAATATTCTGTTCTTTTTGTATGTAACTTCCAATATAGGTTTTTTTTCTGTTTCTCACTAACAGAATGACTGAAAACACAAATTGCAAATTTTTATCCACTTAAGAAATGTTTCTCATCTGTAGATGAGCAAAGACTACAATGTCTCATGTACAAAAGAAAACAGATGAACATGAGAAAAACTACATAAGAGAGCCATAATACTACTGTAACATACTTGCAATATATAGCTATGGCAACCCATGCATACATTTCTAGTTCTAGTTTTTCTCAATGGGCCAAATTCATACATGAAAAAGACTTGGTACAATTTCAGCAACACACTCTATGTTAAATAAACATTAAAGCTGAAAAGTTGAGTCTCAAGCTTCTGCTACCAACTCAAAAAATCAGAATACATGTAAAATTATGTAAGCAGACCAGTGATCTTGTATTGGTCATGCATACTGAAATTTCCCAGTATTAAGGAGAAGTGTCTTCTTTGCTTTACTACTATACATTTAACATTTCAAGCCACTCTGACTGTTTATGTGCAGATGTAACAGTCTGAAATCAAGTGACTTCTGTAAGGAACCTCCTAGTATTGCCACTGGATTTGCATATAGTGGACAGAAAGCTGAGTGGCCTCAGGATCTTACAATAACATGGCTAAATAACATCATTTCAGTTTTAAATCTTTGAGGGTTTGCATCCTGAGGGAAGAGGTTACCTACATATTGAGAGAAATCTTCAAAAAGAAAAACATATACAGTGAACTGAAAGTACTGACACACTATATATAGCATTCTGAAAATTAGATGTATTATGTAAGTGTGACTTGTTTACATTTGGACAATCACCCTGTATTTATGTAGTCTGTTTAGCCATTTAATATGTCAATAAAATAAGGAAGTTCATGCTTTTAGGAAAAAATAGAAGCTTAGGAAATACTTCTGCTGAAGATTAAAATGCAAATAAAATGTGCTTTTAGAAATTACACTGAATTCCACCCACAATCTTTGAACTTAACACATGTAAGAATTTTACTAGGCTAAAGTTTTATCAGGTCAAGAAAAAAATTCTGAAGAACTCACTATAGTGCAAAAATCCTTAACTTTAAACAATAATCTTAGGTTATTATACTGTTCACTTTTGGAGAAAATATTTCAAGTCTTGAAATTTCCTATCCAAGTCACTGAAATTGTCAAATTCTGGATATATTTCTAATATCACCTTACACAGAGAAAGGAAACACAATGAATGAAACACTGTAAATAACACAATTACAAAGTATTTCTACAAATTCTGGACTAAAGATATTCTTTGCCCAAGAGAAGATCTTCTAGAGCTCAAATTTCATGTGCACTACAGAACGAATGCCATTTTTAAAATTACACCTAGGCAACAGGAATGATGAAAAGTTCCTTTTGGACTTGTATAGAAGAACACATACCACTTTGAGAGCTGTAATTGCAGCAAAATACGGTGCTCCAGTGTATCTAAAATGAAATAAAATTTAGATTAGGAAACACAGTAATGACATTAGATAATGATCTTTAATGGAAATATTTACGAAGATCATGCCATAAACCAGCAAAATTTTCTCGAGTAACAGAGGTAAAACTTTAGAGACAAACAAATCAAGAGTCGAAAACTGTCTGCAAGCTAAATATGGGATCTGTGACCTGGATCAATCCCATCTGGCTTTAGATGCTTAACTAAAGTGCCTAAACTGTGATTTCAGTTGCCCTAAATTCTCTTTATAAAGACTGAAGAGACAGATATGAACACAATCACCCTCTAAAGGTGCTTACTTCAGCCAAGAGGTAAAAACTTATGACCATTAGCTCCTAACTCCTGGCTATTTGACCCACCTAGAAGACAGCACTGTTTTGCTGTTTATGGAATGTTTATTAACAGCAGATGTCCAACAGTAGATCCCTCTTACAGGAGAAAGATGTCATCTCTTTTTCAAAAGGGGAAAATGAAAAACAGGAAGGTGTAGGGGCTCATTCAAAGTACTAGGTCAGTACAGCATTTAACTGATTTATGCAGTACATCTTCTCTTACTTGAAATAGGGTATTTCCATTACTCCAGTACATGGTATTGACAGAACCTAGTAAACACCAGTATTTCTCAAAATAAAAAGCCCACAAGAAAACATAGCATAAGAAAATACAGAGACACAGTTCCCAAGAAACCAAAAAATCAGATGTGCCACTGTTTCACTCTACTTATTCTAAAACCTCATCATGCAATGGGAAAAAACTAACACTGAAAGCAGAGAGTTTGGTGGCCAAAAAATACAGAGAAGGTAGACACAAACAGCATTTTAAGTTCCTATAACATTCAGTATCAAAGTTTTGCAACACAACTGCAAGGTACCATGTTATTTCCTAAGTATGCATGGTCAAGATGGAGTATTAAAGCTCTCTGGAAGACTGTGGTTTAAGTGTAAAGTGAGTCTGAATGGCTTCTACAAGTAGTTGTGACATCCTGAAGCTTTATCAGAAGCAAAAACCAAATTTCTATTTAACTTACTCTCGACATCCTCCAACAATGCCTATACGACCATCTTGACCTTTATGCTTTTTCCCTGTTAGAGGAGGGATAACATTGCGCACCAGCTGAAAAATATTCTCCATATCCTTCAGAGTGTGTGTCCTGTGCAGTGAAAAAGATCTCTCTATAACTGAAAAGAAGAAAATAAGTGTTACTTCGAAGAATGTTCTTCCTTAAGCTAATGCCAAGCATTTCTTTTAAGGACTCATGTACACTAATAAAATCACACAAAGATACACAAAGTGACATACTTCTAAAATCCAAATGCTTTTCATTTAAAGGCCTTTAGAACAGTGAGTAACTAGGGAAGGTGATGATTATAAAAATGCATTCAGGGTCTGATGAGGAGAATATTCTCACTGACTGTTCACAGTTCTAATTTAGGGCTCAGGTACAGAAAGAAACAACAACCCAGAATAGTTATATGAACGTTTTGTAACTAGAAATACCTTCTTAGTTCAGCCTGAAATCAGTTCCATAGTTAAGCTCAACTGAAATAGGAACACTTAGTAAGGACTAAACACATCCACAGAGCAAGCACAAAGCAACTGAAACCAAATTTTAAATGTACACCCTACCTTATATTTCGCTTCCCCTTAAAGACTTCCACCTCTTAGCAGAATCAGGGCCTATCTCACTGCTTTTTTATTTTGGTAGGCGGTTACAAAGCATAGTGAAAGTCTTTCTGCAAAACTATAATCCAACACACCAGATGCAAACATCAAAATATCACAGAAAGATCATTTTTAGCTATAATACATCTCCAGATCTCTGATGCAAAGCTACATGTCAAGCCACATACTAAAACAACTGAACACTCAGTAGGCTCTGTGTCAAATGACTCTTTTAAAAGGCTACAAAAATTTAGAAGAAAAAATTATTTCAACAATTACAACTAGAAAGAATGAAAACATTTACCTAACATGGGAAGAATGTGAAGACCACTGCTTCTATCAACAACGTGCTAACTCTAAACTGCAGCAAATACACTAAAAGAGCAAGTTCTTAAAAGCTCCTCATTACCTGTAAAGTTCTGTTCAGAAGAGCGCCTTATTTGAATGCTAATATCAGTGTCCTAGACCACAGCCATGCTTACTTTCTTTTTTACAGATCTTCTAAAAAGCCTTCAAGGAACTGCTACACATGTATAACGTAATTATGTAGAAAATAACTCCCATGATACTCCTTATTTTCAGCTGTATAAAACTCAGTAACCCCATCCCCCAACTACAAAAGGAGAGAAGAAAATAAGGGGGAAAAAAAAGAAGAAAAACTGTTCCAGAAATACATAATATGGGGAAAAAAACGTAATAAACAAGAAAATTCCAAATGTGTGCTATCAGCAAAATGCATCTTTTTCTCTGTCTTCCACAGAAATTAAACCTGAACCACACATGCTAATCTTCAGTAACAGTATGCTTTAGTCTTCAATAATGATAAATACTCTTGGCTGATCTTTTGCTTTTGAATAACAGTCATTCCACTCTTACTGAGAAATAATAAAAAAGGGGGAGAAAAAAGGAAAGGAATGAAAATAAAAGAAAAAAACCCACAACTTGTTTTGGATTTTGGCCAAAATAGCAATGCAGTGACCCAGAGGAGAGCAAATGCCCATCTTCGCTGAAAATAGGGCAGATTATTTTCTTTAAATCACACCTCATACACTCGCTGGTTTTCAACCACACAAGAGTATTATACAGCTTGGAAACCTTAAAGTGCAGTGTTGTTAAGAAGGCCGCCTGTTTATTTGCTGCTGCTTTTTGTTCATGTGTGAATATAAAGTGACTACATGATAAATGGAGAGAAAACAGAGAATTATGCAAAAAGCCATTTTTAATATAGCCTTACTCTACCTACAGAACCACTACAGCATATTCAGCTCTTAACAAATGAAATCTTAATTCCTTAAAAGATGTGTTGCCTGAAGCATTATGCTCACATTTTAGCATACTTTTTTACAGCTTTGCCAATTAGAAGATTAGAATCTCAAATTGCTCTTGCTACAGTTAAATAAATAAAATGCATTTTGCATAGTGCAACATGCCTGTACACCTATATTATGAAATCCAGCAAGAAAAACTGAACCTCAGTTTCAGGTTGTTACACATAATTAAGCTTTTCAGGAAAAAAACTTTCAGAAGTAATAGTAAGGCCTTGTAGGTACCCTCACTCCAGTCTAGAACCTTAAATTATTTCCTACAGAATTTTCTAAATCACACCATTTTTTCTTTATTTTAAGTGAAAACAGCATTTGAAACACTGTATCCATTCATATCCCATAAATTATCTACAAAACTCTGCTGCCACCAGGAAATCCTACACATCAACTATCCACTCAAGAAACACAACCAGATCTGTCAGCCTAAACCCTCGACAGGCCTAAGCACCCAGTGTGCCACGCATTTTACAGGGAAGCAGTAACTAACACACAACTGGATTTTTTTGGTGTTTTTTTGTTTGTTTGGTTTGGTTTTTTTTCCTCCTTTCAAACGACACTTTTTTCTTCCAAGCAGTGTGAAATTCAGAATTAGAACAGAGTAAGACTTGTTTCATTTCCACGTGGCAGGCTACAATCACTAAGCCCCAATCTGAGTCTAGTTCCAGCACTGATGGAGTAATCCCTGATTTCCTCCTGCCCATGCAGTCTACCTCCATGTACAAAGAGACTATGATAAAGATAAATGCCACAGGCATGCAGATCCCACGAAGTTTGTTAATGATTGCTACCATCAGCTTCTGGCCCACACATGAGGTACAGAAGGAAGAGTTTGTGCATAAATACCAATTCTTGAGATACTGCTTTGCCTTTTTCTTTAAAGTAAATTCAGATGCCCATTGAACTTATAAAGAGCTGATGTAGGAAAAAAATATAAGCAAATATTTTCATCTTCTATTACACCTACTACAATAACACAATGTTAAATTGGTAAGATTCAGAATTTTGTAACAAATAAATTTATTTTAAAGAAGCTAGATCTTGACATCTGACTTACTTCAGTGTAGGCAAAATTCCACTCTTTTCCCAGCCCTGAAAAAACACATGCATAGCCTTAACTTCATATACTGGGTTATGCTTAATAACTTCAAGCAGAACATCAGCAATAATTCTGCTACAAAGTGCTAATGCTTCCAGATTGCTTCCAGCAACTCTCCTACTTGCCTTTTACGTATAAAACTCCTCCTAACTTCACTGTATAGAGACATGAATGTGGAAAGAAGTTCCCAAGGTTTACATAGCTCAAAAGGTATGATTTTGCTCATCAAAATTTGTTATAACTAATGTACCTGTATTAAATAATCAGTGCAATGGTACGAATAATGATTTCATTTCATGTGACATCAGACAAACACCTTCACCACAGTATTAAATAATTCCAATTAGCCTTTATTTTCGAAAGCTGCTTACTACCAGTGCTTTCACAAAGAAGTTTTAAAAAGTACCCTAGGCTTTTATTTATGCTGTAGAAAGAAGTACCTATCGGTGGAGAAAGTGTTGCTGTCATAGCATTATAATTAAAGTTATCCGCATATGAACGATGGTTCGCTCTCCGAGGTGGACTTGCCGGTATAGATTGTGACCTTTGTGATACGGTAGAAGAAATTCCAGCCAACATCTGTCCCAACATCTGTAACATCTGGAGTTCTCGAGCATGCTCAGCTTCCCGACGCTTGTCCTCAATTTTGAGCCTCTGCTCTTCGAATCTGTAAAATTTCTCATCTGTATCCATGCTCTGCTGCAGGAATTTTTCCATCATTTTATCCAATGTCAGATTTGTATGGCGTTTTTTTGATCTTTTGGGCTGATTGAGAGGTGGGGTAATAGTTGGAGCATTGACTTCTTTAAAGCCTAAAGCAAGGAAAGAATCTATTATTTTTCTGATGGAAAACAATTTTCTAAGAGGAAAGCAGCTAAAAATCTCCCTAGATGTGACCTAACGTCTCACAAAGCATTAGGTTACATCTTCTCGTTGTGAGTTGTATTTATTTGAGATATTTTTCTTTCAGAGTACTAAAGCAAACCCACAAACTTCTACCAAGTTGCAAGGGTAACACAAAAATCAGAGGCATTTTAAAAGTGTTGTAGTACTAAACTTCAACAATAGGAGTCTTTTTCATCTTCTAAAAGGTTTGAGTGAAGGTTATTAAATAGTATAGCCTCATTTGTGTATTGCAGGTAATTAATCTAAATTGAGTTTCAGTCTGTTGGTATTCTAGATTTGCATTTCAAAAGAACATTAGTGTAAACAACTCTTTGATGGGGTTTAAGTGTAAAAAGGTTGCTTAAACGTCAACCAATCGGCTGATTCCTAAGTGATGTCAACTTCTGAAGACAGGTTCACGTTTGTATTAAAAACCTTGCATTAATCTAGACTGAAAACAAACAAGCGACATTTCCCCCGCACCTCCACAAAACAAATGTGGAGGGTAATGAAGGCGCAGGGAAAGGACAGGCTTTATCGAAGTGCTGTTTCTGTCCGCAAGCTAGATAAAGTTCGAAGCAGTGTTTCTGAAACAACCCGTGCAATTTATTATGTAAAAGCTCTCCCCTAGCTTTCTGGTCCATCTGCAACAATAAGCAGATTTCTCAGGTATTATCGTCATCGTCGTTTTAATACCGATTAGCAAAATTGCACACAGTCTGCAGGGAACAGGAAAATCCTCCAGCGAGAAGGATGCTTATTTTCTCGTACAATGCTATCTGACACTTTGTCTCGATAATCTCTGCGCTAGTTTTCCATGGGTTTCCCATTGATAAATGCCGATAAAAACTCACTAGGGTCCCTATCCGCAGCATGTCTCCCTCCCCGGTATGCAGTACTTCCAGCACCCGCAGCAGCCCGCTCCACTCCCGGGCTCCCCAGGTCACGGGGACGCGCAAGGTGCAGGAGCGGGGGGAGGCACGGGCGGCTTTCAGAGCGCGAAGGACGGGGCGGGAGGCAGCAGGATAAGGCAAAAGCCACTGAGAAGCGCCGGCAGTCGGGTTGCGAGAGCCCGCGGGGTGAGAGGAGGACACCCGGAGCCCGCCGGCTACTCACCGTCACCGGGCGGCACGGGGATGGCGAAGGACGGGCACTCCACCTTGATGGGGTGGTCGGCGTAGGAAGAGCACTCGCCGGAATCCTCGGTGAAGTTGTCGCGGGGGGACTCCGGCCCGGCGTCCTCGTCCAGTTCGGCGTCCAGCTCGCGGCGGTTGTGCGGCGTGCCCGGCGTGGGCGGCGCGGCGAGCGGCCCCGCGGGCGGCTGGGCGCCGTCGGGCGGCGGGACGAGCGGCTCGGGGGCGCCGTCGGGGCCCCCCCGGCAGCTGAGGATCCGGTCCATCTCGTCGTAGTACTTGCATATCTTGCGGGCGTGCCCGTTCTTCTTCAGCCCGTCCCGGGCCTGGTAGTACTGCCGCTTGAGGCCCTTGATGCGGATGCGGCACTGCTCGGGGGTGCGCTCGAAGCCCAGCTCGGCCAGGCGGCACGCCACGTCCCGGTACACATGGCTGTTCCGAAAGTTGCCGTCCAGCGCCGACTGCACGTCCGCCTCGCCCCAGATCTCCAGCAGCGCCCGCGTCTCCAGATCCGACCACAGGAAGCCCCGCGTGTTCGTAATCATCCTTGGCCGGCCGGGGTCACTGCAATGGCCGCGCACCGGGGAGAGGGAAGGAGGGAGGGAGGGAGAGAGGGAGGGACGGAGGGGGCGGAGGAGGGCGGCGGGAGGAGGGAGGGGGTTTAATGCCCGCACGCGGCTCTCCCAGGGGGCGCCTACGCCAGCCCCGGCAGCCGCGGTGCGGCGGGAAGCGGCGGAGAGCCGGGCCCCGGGACCTGCATCCCGGGCCGCCGCCGCTCGCAGCCCGCACGCACGCAAACAAAACTTTACAGGCGCCGCTGTGCGCTGCGGGCACCTGCAACAAGGGGGTTGGGTGAGGTAGCAAAAAAAGAAAAAAAAAAAAAAAAGAAAAAAAGAAAGGAAAACGCCTCTTCCCCTTGACTCGCCCCCTTTGAAAAGGATGATGATAAATAAAAAATAAACAAGCGGGCACCCGGCGCGGAGCCGCGATCCCCTCCTCCCCCCCACTCAGGCAGTCATCCGTGCGCTGCCGCTCCCCCGCCCCGGGCTCCGCTGGGAGCGACAGGACGCTGGCTGGACTTGGAGGCTCTGCTCATCACAGTGCGCCTGCCTCCCTCTCTTCCTCCCCCTCCCTCCCTCCCTCCCCGCCGCAGTGGAGCGCGATCCCTGCACACACGCACACACACACACAGGGCGCTGCAGCTCCGCTCGGCGCCTACCTCACCCCCGAGCACCGCCGTGCCGGGCCGCGCCGCGCCAGCGCGGGCAGCGACATCGCTGCGCCCTGGCCGCCGTGTCACCCAGCCCGGGGCGGGCGGGCTTCCCCCGCGCCCCGCACCGGCGCACACACGCGCGGCAGCGCTGCCCCTGCAGGCCGCCACAACAGCCGCGCCGCAGCCGGCGCCGCCCGCAGGCCCGCGGGGACCCGGCAGCCGCTGCCCTCGGCAGACCCTGCGGCGGTGCTGGGGGTCGGGTCTGTGAGCGCTTCCCCCGCCCCCGGCCGTCCCTCCGCGGAGCAGGTGAGCGGCCCGGCCGGCCCCCGCGGCAGGCGGGGGTGGGCTGCATCGTGCTGGGCCCTGCTGCCGCCCCTTCGCTTCGGTTTTGCTCTCCGGCAGGAGCGTCACGAGGCCGCCACCGCCTCCCTCCCGCCTCGGCCCAGCCCCCGGCGGGGCTGCCGGCCCGGGGAGCTTTCCTTATGTGGGGAGCACGCACCGGCCCGGCCGCCCGCGGGCTCCGGCAGCACCCGGCTCCCACCCGCTCCACCTCGGCCGGCGCTCGGAGGTTTGTACCTTCGTCACGCCGCAGCCAGAGGGCCACGGCCACTGCGGCCAGGGCGATGACAGCGCCCCGTCCCCACATCCTCGCGGGGGACAAGGCAGGGCCTCTCCGCTCTTACCTCGGCACAGCGCGGGACTCCGCACGGCCGCTGCCCAGCGCGCACAACTCATCGGCGCGGCTTCCGCCTCCGCTCCGCTCCGCGCCGGCGGGGCCGGGCAGAGCTCCGCGGCGGGCGCGCCCTCCCGGCTCTGCTCCGCGCCTCCCCGCGGGCTGCCCGCGCCCCGCGCACACACCGGCGGGCGGGGCCGTCGCCCAAGGTTGTGTGCTAGGGTCCGGCTCGGCCCGGCAGGGAGAGCTTGGAGTGCTTGGCCCGGCCGTCACGGTACTTTGGGGCTGTCTTCCCGACCCTTTAATTGGCAGCTCTTACAAACTCCCAGGAATTTACCATTTATTGCTGCCGGCGTTTCACGCTCTTCCTATCCCTCTCCTCACCAGGTATTTCTGAGAAAACTCCTCATTTGCAAGTGTGATTTGCTTCTAAGGTGCTATTTCTTGCTCAGATGCATCATTTTCCCCTATACACAGCACGTGCCCTGTACTCCACTGGTGAGGCCACACCTCGAGCACTGTGTCCAGTTCTGGGTTCCTCAATCCACAAAGAACGCTCGAGGTGCTGGAGCAAGTCCAGAGAAAGGAAACAAAGCTGATCTGGAACAGTAGGAGCGGGAGGAACTGTGGAGTAGTCAAAATAGGAACTGTGAGGAGCAAGTGAGGAAGCTGGCATTGTTTAACCTGGAGAAAAGGAGGCTCAGGAGAGACCTCATCACTTTACAACTATCTGACAGGAGGTTGTAGCCGGGTGGGGGTCAGCCTCTTCTCCCAGGTAACCAGTGACAGGACAAGAGAACACAGTCTTACACTGGGCCACAGGAGATGTAGGTTTACATCAGGAGGAAATTCATCACAGAAAGGGTGATGAGACCTTGGAATGGGTTGCCGAGGGAGATGGAATCACCGTCCCTGGAGGTGGTTAAGGAAAGACTGGATATGGCACTTAGTGCTGTTGTCTAGTTGACATGTGATCCTGTGATTTTATAGCAGCATTCCATTGTTATTTTCTTTAAAACACAACAGGGCTGGTAAAACTACCATCTGATGTTCACCTCTGGTCCTATGGCACCTGCTTAATCTACATAATGAATCAAAATGCAGCATCACAAATTTAACAAGATTATATACATAAGAACTCTGAAACATTTTTTTAAGCTCAAAACGACTGTAATTTCTGCTTTAAGACTCCTGGGTATTTCAATAAGTTGTTAATAACTCATAAATGCTTGTAGCCTAACTCACAGTAAAATGTCAATGTTTCAGTTAATATTTTGAAAGGGTAAAGACAGACAACGTTTTCCTTTACTGCTCTGTGTTATATATAAGCTGTGGTCAAACAGACCTGCTAGTGTTACCTGGACCAAACCCAAGCACATGATATTTATGTCTTTCAGCTTCAGAAGCATTGCTTAAAACAGCCATGCTGTCTGCAAAGTATAAGACAGACAACCTGAACTCTTAGTGACCCAAGTTGATCAGTAACCCATGTTCTGGAGCAGGACTTTGGATACCTGATGACTTCACCGTCAAGTATTAACTTGTTTATTGAAAAGTTGCTCTTCTATAGGTCCTGGTATCTGGTATGATTTTAAAGCCAATACCACGTCAGTGACATTTTCCCTTCATTCTCAGTACAAGTAATGCTTTTTACCCTCTGATTATTTGAGTGGCAGTCCAAAAGACCGATTGAACAGACAATCACATTTAGTTTGCACATGAATGTTAAACCAGAAAAGCAATGTTGAACACTGCATTCCATACACTCACGTTTTGATTCCAACTGGAAGGATAATGAATGTGTAGATTCCCATAACTCCAGCACTGATTTAATGTCTGGAAGAGAGGAGGGAAAGAGTAATGCAGATATTTTTTTCATCAGGTGTCTCCACCAAAAGCATGTCTTGCGCCCAGCAAAGGAGAGGAACAAAGATATAATTGTAATGGTTTTTGCTGAGTTCTCTGGTTTCCTTTGTAGCAGAGATGGAAGGGAATTCTGATGGTGCAGGCCCCTCAGAAGTTGTTAGTGGAGGACGCAATTCTCAATTTGTGTGTAGAAGAAAACCTAAGGGTCTTTGTGGGCTTCCCCTATGCCACGGTTCTTCAGCTCTTTATACAAAATTTTGTTGTGCACAACAACTTTTTGTAACAATGGGAGTGTAAAAACCTTTGAGCAAAACACGTTTTCACTCCAACATTCTCCTGCCCTGTATCTAACTCAAGGCACCTTCTTCTGGTATAGTACTGGCTGCCATCTCCATACCTTGTAAAGTATAAATCCATAACTTCTGGTGCCATCTCTGAGTGCAGCAACAGCAATCCTACTTAACCAGCAGATGAGACAGGGGAAAAGGGCTTTTAACAGAACTACAGAAGGTAGGAGGTCTATGAGGCAAAAGTTCGCACTCCCACCAAAGAGGTAGAGAAAAAGCAGCTGCAAGAGGTACTTACTTCTTCAGGTATATACTATGCTTGTCCAATTTTTTTAATTGAGCTTTCTGTTTTGAAAGTCTTGTCACTTTCTCTGCTTGTCCCTCTTACGAGAAAGGAGGAATGACCCTGCAGAGTTCCATTTCCTTCTTTTGCAAAATCATTCTGGCTTCATTGCCTGTTGCTCTGTTGCTGGCCCCTACCTCTTCCTCAGTCTTGTCCCTCCTTCCCTAGCTCTTGATCTCAACCTTGAGTTCCAGCATTTTAACCCTTCCCTAGCTACACTCTCAGTATCCTCCCATTAGTGGATTAATTACTGTAACCTGTCCCTCCCCTGCTACACAAAAAAAAGGCATCAGTAGCCAGCCTGAGAATGTTCTACTGCTTGTCAAGACAGAAAAGAGCTTGGAGGTTTGACGTTGTAGTAGATGGCAGCAGTCACTGACAGCTGGTGCTTGCTGAGAACAGTATGGTGAGGGATGGACTGTAAACTACATGTCCCTAGGTGGAGACTCCAAAATAGTGGCTGTTCAGGACCCATCTTTTCTTTTGCAGGTTGCTGATGAATCTCTGTTCACAACATTTTGGCTCTTTGCTTCTGATCACTTTGCACCTACTCAGCACTTCAGTAGTTTCCATCCATCTGGTAACTGTTGTGCAACCCTGCCTACCAAAGTCATTCCAAGGTGAATGTGGACAGCAGGTGTCAATAGCAGAGTTTGCAACATCCTTTGATTGCATTCTCTCCACTCAAATAATTGAAAGCCTGTACTGGAATCACCACTTAATATCATAAATATTACAAACATATCAATGTCAACATATGCATATTAATAATTGCAATAGGAGGTTTAAGCATATATGTGGAAAAAGGTAATGGAAGAACTCAGAAGTAATAAGTAGCTCTAATTGAAACTGCTCTTAAAATACGACCAAGGATTTCCTTGTTGTTGAACTGGGAATCTGGAAGCACCTTTCATTGTGAAAAAGATAAAGGAAGTCTTAATTTTATTTTAATGATTACCTAGCCAAATAAGGAAGTCTTAATTTTATTTTAATGATTACCTAGCCAAATTGCAGCTGTTAGCATTGATAGTGGTAATAGAGAAGGCAAAAATTGTATAGGTGTTCTGATGAAAAGAGGGCCAATCCTGCAGGTGTTATTAGTAGTGCTATTTACTGTCATTAAATTGAGTGGAATAGCATGTTTTACACCACTAATATGCAGGTTTTACACCACTAGGATATGATTATCGTAGTAAAGGACAAAATGTGGCAATATGCTGTAAATTTTAGTTTATTAATTTGATGTCTCTCTAGGCCACAAAGAAACTAGGAACACCTGAAGCTATAGTAATTATTCCTTTCTCTTCACTTTGTATATTTTTATGTTCAAGAGAAAGGATAGCAGCAAGCAATTGACAACAAGCTGTTATAAGAACACATCAACATGGCTTTGGTTTCCCTATAAAGTTTAGTAAACGGGAATGTTGTATGGGCTGAAGAAGGAAAAGAAAACTGTGTATGGAAAGAAACACACCCACACCTGATTAAATACTGTGTTAAAAGCTTGTGCCTACAGCTTCTGTGATTCTTCATATTCTTACCAAGGCAGTATAGATATTATCACTTCTGGATGTAGTATAATAATATTTGTGAAGTTCTGTGCTTCACCAGGTAATTTTTGTTTTACCCAAAATGAACACTCTTTCTGCTGAGTGTTAATGGTGAAAAAAATAAACATGAAGGAAACAATAAAGAGGCTCTTTCTGGTTTGTACTCTCCTTAGAGCAGGCAATAAGAATGATCTATGTAGTGCAATAGAAGTGAAGAGGGTTTTTTTGGGATCACCTAAATTCTTCAAACAAGTTACTGATATCTAGTGCAAACAATTATGTAAAACCTCTTAAGCAACAAGCAAAACGTTTAAACAAATGGCCTCTTTTCCAATAGGAAATAATGCCACTCAGAAAGTTGATAGTGGGGAATTATACAGGGTTTTTTTAACTGCTTTATCCTTTTCTTTGGTGGCAGAAGGTAACATTTGCCAAGTCCGTTAACTTACACAATTTAGAACACTGCTATTATTATGAAATACACCATTTATTTAACTTTTTTTCTGTTCAGTAATGTCATTTAGACATTATTTATTTTAGTTGTTTTGTAGCTGAGCCTGAAGGCTTTGCCTATCATCTTACCCATTGTACATATACAAATATTAGCCCCTTGCTCAAAACTCAGTTTTATGTGCATTTAAGAGAGACACGAATACTCAGATGGACAGATTTGTAAAAAATAAATTGGTTTTACCTTAGGTGATACAGCTCAGTTCAGTCTTGGAAAATTATAGTGCATATTGAACATGACTGCTGGAGGAAGGCTACATGCTGAATTCATGAAGGGATTTGAACACTGAAAGGTTCCTCTTTCAGGTACCTCACTTCCTTTTTTTCCCCCTGTTGTGTGCTGCTAGTTATCTCATAGATCCAGCATATGAACTTTAGCAGCTGTGTCCTCAGGTTTCTCTGAAGACTGTAGTTGTTTCCCCTGCAGCCCTTAAGCCTTGCATTTGTAGTCAGGCTCAGATTGTTGTAATGCCATGGGTGATGTCTGCCTGCAGTTGCTTCTGGATTGTGCATAATCTTGTTGCCCACAGGAAA